CAGATCCTTGTTTCGCTGGTGACCAGGACATCCCCTTTGCATCATACCCTATCCCCCAGACAAACCTCCAGAGCAGCTTGCCCATCTGAGAAGAAAATCCTTGTTTTCTTCTCTCACAAGACTAGTAATGGGCAGGAAATCTTTTCTGGCTTTCAGAACAGTGTCTGCAGCTGGGATAGGCTACAGTCCAGCAGTTTGGCTCTACAGTGCAAACAGATCACCAGGAATGGATCTTCTGTTACACCAGATTTTCAGGATTAGTATAGTTGTTTGCCATAAACCACAACTGCAAATTATCTCTGTACTATTGCAGATGCAAGGGCCCGTAGCACTAAGAATGCATTATGCTCTGTCCCATGAAATCATAGCCTAGTACCTGAAAGGGTTGTGTTCATTAGTTTCTTAAGATCTTGTGCCACCTTCCCTATGCAACCTCATACCCTAGGTAGGTTTGTTCTAAAAGCAGCCAAGCAACTGGAACCTGAATCCCTAAAACTCATTCTTCTCTGGAAAGTCATTGTGGTGACCAGAACTGTGTGTCCTTGTTTGAATCTATAGACATAGGTGGCATAATCACGGTGCTGTCAGCCAGAAGGATAAGAGAAATAGCACCCGTTGTTTGCAGTTCCCATTTACTTGCTTTCTCTCTGGCAGTGCCCAGCTTCCTTCCCAAGTCAAATCCTCATTTTCCCCATGAACAAAAGGTGAATTCCCTTTCCTTCTAACATAACTCAGGATGTCACAAAGAAGGGACCCTACCCTCATGTCACTCTGCATAAAAACTTTCACCCGGAAAGGACAAAAGTTATTCAGGTCAGTTAATTCCCTCTTCTGGTTCTAAGACATAAACATGCAGAGGAGCTTCTGAGATATCAAATTTTCAAGGGGTTTGTTGCTCTGTTCTTGAAGCATCGCTTTAAGAATGGGTCCTTTGTAAAGGTCAGTCCATTGGACAAGAACTGAGGTTCCCTCCTGGAGAGAAAGTAGGATGGATACTATAGATCTGCAAAGCAGTGAACTGTTCTTTTTATTAAGTATCCTAGGGTTCATGTTAAGAGACCTGGTTGTGTGGTTTTAGGTACCTCATTCTAAAAGATGCGAATTTAAAACTTGTTATGGTTTTTTAAGTCAAGGAAACCATTTTCTCCTTCATATCTATCCTAGTTCAGTGGTTCTCAACCTTTTTTACACCAGAACCCATTTGTAGACATGGATGGCCAGTCCCAGCCCAGTGCCCCTCGCTCCCAACCCACTGCCCCCAGGCCCCAGCCCCTCACTGTGTAGGGCAGGAGGTGGATGTGAGGGGCGGGGGGGGGCAGCCTGAAAGGGAAAAGCCATGGTTTCCCACATTTTTTTTCTCCATTTTTAAAGTTTGTTGATCCATGTTTAAAGTTTGTTTGCCACCGTTTCATATATTCTTGTGACCCACAGGTTGAGAAATGCTGTTCTTGTTGATGCTGCTAAGTAGAGACCGTTCCATAGGTTATTAGGATCCCAGTCAGCAGGTATTGTTCTGCATTACTGTATATCATTTTAATCGGTTTCAAGAGTGGATACAGGAAGTCAAACATGGCCCCATGAGAATTAGCAGGCATGACCTCTTCTGTTTTTTCCCTGCCTGTGGAGAGAGTGGACCTATTTACATGGATCTGATGGACTACACATTGAAGAAACACTTTTAAGAGGTGGAGAACTTTCCTTTATACAGTGGAACTGACCCTAGAACTATCTCCATCTCCCTCAGTGCGACGGAAGCTGCCCTGCATTGAAACATGGAGCTACTTGAAGGACCTCTGCATCACAAACTGTTGCTGTCAGTGAGACCCTGTCACACCTATGAGACCAGGACTGGTTTGGTGTGCAATGTAAGTCTCCACTTCAGATGACATGAGCACCTCAGACAGGAACAAGGCAAGTTTCTTAGCAGCCAGGAAATTCAGAATAGGATCTATGAGCTTGAAGAATGGAAGGATGCTAAATAAACAGCAGAAAAAGAGAAAGATCTGAAATGGGATGATGTGGGACTGAACTGTTGCTGCTTTCAGTGAGAGAAAGGTGTGTCTGTGTTTGTGCCGTTTTTCCTTTTGATTGCCTATCAGGTACCAGCATCTAGTGGCTGGAGGTTTTGTTGGGGGAAGTAGTTCACATGCTAGGGGCAGGAGTGTTCCACTGTTTTTTCTTCCCCATGTGCCCATTCAGTAGCTGCGGTTGGTGCAAAGTACAGCCAACCCTAAGAGCTCTATTTTATAAATGCTTCTATGCTGTACCCACCCTCCAGTAGTGCACAGTGGAATGTTGTTCCCATGCATAGCAACGAAGAACAAGGCTCTTCTGAGCTGCCCAGGCTGCCCCTCATGGCAGTGCAGAATGCTCCTTTCTCCTTTTCTTGGATATATCTGAGTAGTTTGCTATAGTGAGCTAAGTGTGGTATGATGGGGTCATTTGCACCTACCTTTGTTCCTGGGAAGGGGTAAAGGATTGCACCTGTAGTCATGACAAGCAACAAGGGGCTTACTGCTTCCACCTTTCTTCCCACTGTCCACCCCACAGCTATCCCCCAGGTAACAACATACAGAGAACTGCTTTCAGATCTCTTTCTCCTTTTCTTCCCCATCCTAGCATTCTGAGCCAATTGCTGTTAATACTGGGCTCAGGAACATGTTTGACCTGTCTGTAACCAGAAAGTTATTGGGTTAGCTCATTGTTTCTGTGCTGTCACCAAGAAATGCGATAAAAGATTTTCTTTTCTTTACCCCCATCAGGCCATTGCTGGTCCTGCTGCACTAGCAGATGCAAGTCCTCATGTTTCTCCATTTGTAAAGGGGGGGTTCATGATTCAGACCCACTGCGCTGTGGGCTGCCAAAGTTACCTCACAAATGCCTTCAAAGTGCTCTAACTGCCAGGTATTATTATCAGGTCTTGTGCTCTAGCTCAGCTCTTTGTACCCCTTTTCCCCCCTCCTTCAGCTGGGTGGGCAGTGAGGCCAGCCCAGTGCTAACGAACAATGACTGGGGAACAGGCTCCAGTTTATAAACCAAAACTTCCCAGGGGGCTGCTAAGGAGATTAGAAAGACCTCCTCTGCCACCTGGCATCTGGATTCCCCCATCTGTGTAGCTATAGCTAAGCATTTACAGCATATCTACCAGCATGTTGGCACAGCCACTGTGTGCACACATGCACACACACACAACCCCTTCTTCTGGAGTGGATATGGTGGGGGAAAGGGAAACACTAGCAGTGAGAGCTCCTCTTTCCTACTAAAGGATTGGATTAGGCACAGTAAATAAGTGGGGGTATGATTGGGCAGAGCTAATTATTTCATCATGTTGACTGCAGGTCAAGGAGACCCACAGAGATGAAAAGGAATAAGCTACTCAGTCAGCACCTCTCATCAGAGGACATTGCCCTAACTACATGATCTAGGCTAGTAAAGCACACAAGCTGTAATTGCACCTGCCCCTGCCCTAGCCACCAGCCCACCACCTGGGGTTTTCCTTAACTCCTTAAAATGCTTGAGATGGTATTGGGACAGACAGCACCACAGGGACGTTAACAGCAACTGCCTGCTTTGGAGAACCAGTCTGGGACTCCATGGAAAGCTACCCCACCTGAGGTCCATGCAGGGGCCTGACCACAGGTGACTACCAGCCAAGTGTCATTTTACATAGGTGTTGGGGATGGTGAGGTGATGGGGGGGAGGGGGCTCTGTTATAGCTTCAAGATCATGACTAGGAATGACTGAGCATCTATGAATTTATGAATCACAGGACTTGCATATGCAAAGCCCTGTTGGAGCAGATCTGTTTATGGGCTCCCTAGTATCTACAGCAGAGGTGCTCAACCTCCAGCTTGCAGGCCAGATGTGACCCATGGAGCTTTGGAATCTGGCCCATGGGTCAGGATGGTGGTGGGGAAGCAGGGGCAGTTAATACTACCCACCCCCCCACCAAAATCCCAAGACCTGTGCAATGGATTGGAGCTGGGACACAACCCTCCCCCAACTACCAGAGCAAGGTTGGACCACACCCACTTCCCTCTGTGGCTGGGTTGGGTCCAGGCTGCACCCCCTTCTCCCTGTGGGGCCAGGTCATGTCCCTTTCCCTGCTGCTGGTTCTGGCTGGGGCAAAACCAAGCCCCCTTTCTTCATGTGGCTAAAGCAAGGCTGGGCTGCCCACCACCCCCCTCCATACAATCAGATGGGGTCCCACCCTGCATACCCTGGGCACCAGATTAGGTCCACTAGCTGGATCTGGTCCACAGGGTGAAACAAGCATTGCCCATCCAACCCCACAGGCAAAAAGGTTGAGCACCACTGATCTAGAGACATCTGCAGGCAGAAGGCAACATATTTCTCTGGAAAACCACGTCTTTTCTAAAGGAACATTAGATTGAGTGATGTATGGACTGTACCTTGCCTTGACCAGGTCTGTGACATAGCATACTTCATTTGGGTTTTAAAGTTTGGTAAACTGAAAAAATTTGAGCATGTCTATGGGATACTGTCTTGGGTTTAGTTGCATGCAAGTCCAGATTTGGTAAGCCTTATGTCTTTGCCTACGACTGGCAAGCTGTAACTGCTTGCCTCCTTGCTTGGCAGGGCACATTCAGGTGCTTGCTAACCAAATACCTGAAGCTGTTAAGCCAGTAACTGTACTGGCATGCTGACAGGCCACACAGAACTGCATGCCATAGGTGCTGAAGGGAAGGTTGTGTGCATCTCTCCAAGAGCACTTGGGGAGGTGGCAAGCATGTCAGGGGCTTACGTGGGACAGGTCTTATACACAACAGGTCCCTTTCATGGGAACTGCATGCATCTCCAGTATGAACCTCCAGGCTATTTCCCTTGGCAAGGAGAAGAACTGAAGCTTGCTGGAGTGTTTTCACTCTGTGCACCTCAGACTGGTCTACTCTGATATGTTTCCAATGAGAGTGGGTTGTAGGGGATGGTGGGCATGTTTCAGAGTTATCCTATATTATTTGTTGCAGGTAGAGCACAACTTTGAAATGCTAAAATCTCTACTATTTCAACAGACAATTTTTCTGGTGAGAAAATGATTGTTTCCCCCCACAAAATATTTATTTTTTACAATGTTTCTGAGATTAATATTTTTTAAAAACCTTGGCAGGTAAGGCCTGGACCAGGTCTTTGTGCAGGAGAGGTACTGAATACCCTAGAGCACCTCACATACCACAATACAGATAGAGTCCTTTGGGGGTAATCACCCCAAACTGGATGGATCCAAAATTCAGGTACCCCAGGAGCAGTGGTGCCCACCCTGACCCAGAAACCATCTATCAGGAATTCCAGGAAAGGAGTGGAGCTGTATGGCAAACACAGAGGAAACCTCAACCATTCTGCAAATGGAGTCAGCGTGCTCTCCCCTCCTCTCGGACAGGCCCATCCTGAGAAGCTCTGAGGAGCAAGATTCTGGGTGCCTTTCTCAACCTCTTCTCAGTTAACGCTCTTTTTTCAGAGAAAATTTAAATTTCTTCCTTCAGAAGGAAATTCTAATTCTTCACAATAGAGGAACAGGCTGAAGTCAGGGGACAGCTGTAGTGTGAGCAGGAAGCACTGGCCAGTCTGTCTTCCTACCCCACTTTTGACCATTCTTGCCACACTCTTGCTTCCCTTTCTCAGCCATCCATGCTTCAAAACACAGTGCAGTTTCTCCATTCAGTGTCCCTCTTCCCCCATGAACGTCCAGCCTTTATCGAGAATACAGTCTTCACATCACCAAAATGACTCCCAGAAGGAAGGAAACTGAGTCAACAGGACACAAAAACACTCCAGAATGGATCCCTAGAGAGCTGGTACATCCTCAGCTGCAGGGTTGGAAGCCCAGGCCTGGGTGCGTGGGGTCCCTGGCCCTCTGGTTCTATTCCTAGTGCTCTGGAAGAAGGAGGGAGAGCAGTGACAGATCCTCTCGACTTTGGGTGGGGCTGGTTGCCTTTCAGCTGCACTTGCAGGATTTCACCACCATGTTGGAAAGCTGCTCTACTTTGGGGGTCCTCCCAACGTAATACAGGATGGTGAGAGGTTCTAGGTCCTGGGGAACGCAGCAAGGTGAGGCAGATGCCTCAGGGTTCAGCGTATTGTAGAGACCCAGCACCTGGGGAAAAGAAGCATATTTAAGACCTGGTCAGAGATTCCTGACATTACTGGGGCTGCCGCTCCATGGGTCAGAACTGGTTTTTAATCACACTCTCCACCATTGTACTTGACTAACTGCCAGGCAGGGGCATCCTCCAAGAGGCTTGGCCCAAAACGTGGCCCATGTTAAAAGGTTCTAATCTGCACTGTAGCACCTACGAGCCCTTGTTTATTGTCAAGTCCTCTACTCTGTGGCAGATGACTTCAGTGCAAGGACAGCCAAAGTAAAAACGGATCCTCCCAGCTCTGCACTGACACAGCCATCAGTGTCCCATTTTACAATTTTAACAATGCTGGGTGTAACCAATTTGGGGCCATGCATTCCTGGGTTCCATAAAAGACAGCTGAAAAAATCAATTTTGTTGATTTCAGCCAACATCTCCAAATACTGCTGGATGTAATACCACCCGCTCAAGTATCCACAGGTCCCTTCCAACTTTCAGCCATCTGATGAACTCGCTCTCCATTCCATTCTCCAAGTCATTACGGGATCATACTGGAGTCAAAAGAGAGTCCTGTGGGACCTCACTGGATTCTTCCTCCCAGCTGGCCCTGAACCACTGACAAATGCTCCAGTCATATAGCTGTCTTACAGCAGTTGCCATGTTTCTCTCCAGAGGTAGCTGCATGTCAATGGCACATGATTTCTAGCCTCATGGGGCCAAAAAGGCTCTCACATTCCCCAGCATGGTCTCATTTCCTTCAGTGGAGCTGGTCCTGGTTTAAATGAGAGCAGAGTTTGGCCCACTGTCATGGGGAATGAAATATGCTATGGAAACATCCTTTTTTATTATTAATCTGATCGATTTAATTCACTTTTCTAAAGTTGAATCCCTGGATGCTGAATTAAAGCATTGCCAGCTTTGCCTGGGTCGCTGTACATTGACCCCAGTGTACAAGCCAGCAGCAAGGTTGGTTCAGTGCAACTGATCCTGGAGTTTTTTATTTTTCACTGTTTCCCTGGGCACTGTTTCCCTGGGCACAGTGCTGACAAACTGCAGTAGATGCGTTGTTCTAAGAACCCACTGGGGTTTCTAGTTAGTTGTGCTGCTCATTAATTCTCTTCTTGTCTGTTTTCCTTTGAAAATATGAACCAACCCAAATTCTCCTCTCACGTGCACTGCTTCAGCCCCACTGACTTTCATAAAGTTGTCCATGGTGGCTGATGGGAAAATGCAACCCCTTGCATGTGCACATTTGTTCTTTGTCTTTGCCCTGGGAAGGGGACTTTGTTCCCAAAGAGCTCTGCTCTTTGCCCTGCGTTCTGCTTCCAGCCTTTGTTCTCATTCATTCCCTTGGTTCCAGGCCTCCTGCTGCCATCAGGGCTGGCAGAAGTACATATGCTGAAGTTTTCAAGAGTGCTCTAACCTGTTTCCTGCAGTCTCTCCCTTGTCCAGGTAACAAGCTACTAAAGACCTTTTTAATGAACCTGAAGCTAAGTAGCCAGTGGGTGATTCCATCTTCTCTGTCTCCAAGCAGTAGCAGCCCCTGCATGTTGTTCTGGCTCATCATGTTTCCTTGTGCAGCCACAGCAGCGCAAGGTTGAAGCGTATGCCTCTTAGCCTGCACCATCCTCATGTCCTTGACCCTTGGCCTTTCTCCTGCCCCCATTCCTTTGTGCCACTGTCTTTCTGTTCCACTTTCAGGATCCTGACTAAACCCAAGTATTCTCAAAGACTGACCAGTGTCTAGCATGAATGATAACTAGTGGGTTACCTAAAAGCATAGGTTTCTGCACATTTTACATGTGGATCATACTGTTAACTGGGCTTCTCTGCAGCTGTCACTATGGGGCCACCCATGGGCTATGCTGACATTTTTCAGTAAGGAAGGGCACCCATGCACAACAGGAAACTTCTCATGTAGCCATTTTACCTTCTGCATTAAACCAGCCTGCTACATACCCCATGCATCCTGGAGGGCATATTTAGTTCTTTATGTACAAAAGATTTCCCCACCATTTGAATGCAGCCATCTCTGGGGCAGTAGCCAAGTCAGCCACACCCCACTGAAAGCAGCTGTTTGCAGCTGTACAAGAGCATTAGCTGACACTTTGTAGCATAGGCAACAGAAAAATCCTGTCTCCAACAGAAACTGCAGGTGGGTCAGAATGGCAATCCAAAAGTTACCACCAATACCATCTCTCCAAAGCTGAAATTTGACCTCAATATTTTGGCTGACATCACCAACAATTACCAAAAACCTACCCAGGATAGCAAATGGTCATCCCTGCCTTGTTAAAAATTGCATCTGAAGGATGGTCACAAGCATCCTTTAACATTGGATTGGGGACAAGCACAGAACTGTCTCCACAGGTGGAGTGCCCCTTACTGGTCTACAGGAAATGGTCTACATGAATCCCAATGAGATCAGACTTGTAGGGTCACAGCTCCAGTAGCCATGCCCAACTGGAAGCCCTTAAGAGTATTACCCCCCTGCCGTACCGTGCTGTGAGTTGTGTCTGCACTGCGGAGGTATGGGCAGGGACCCGAACAAAAGTTGGCAAAGTAACCCTTGGGCTCGTGGACCCACTTCCAGCCCAGGTCCTGTCGGAAGTCTATGTAAAGAGGGCGGACACAGCAGTTTTCCTCCAAGTTCCTGAAACAAACCATTGGCACAAAGTGAATCCAAGTACCAGAGAAATGG